TACTTATTTTTTCCACACATTGACAAACATGAAAATGCTTTGAAGGATCAAGGCCAGCGTCTCTTGGCTGCGCACAGAGGTTGCATGAGTTTCATCAGCTACTCCTACCGGCATAAAGAACAGATTCTGGCATACAGTATTATGTAGGTATATGACACCACAAGGTCTACAAATCAGATGTTCTCTGAGAAAGTCTCTGAATAGATTGATTTTATTTGTAATCATTTCAAACATGCATATTTTTGATGGCAGAGAGTCCACCTCTGCTCTGAAATGCAGCTCACCGATACTGAAATCAGCTTACTTGTTTCATAAGATGTTCCTAAATAGGATTGTGTGGAAAAGTTAAAATCTCTTGAATTCCTAAGTCATCTAGAGCAACTGACCTCTAAGAGGACACAGTGTTCCCCATTTCCCTTCTGGCTACTTCCCTCTCTCTCACATTTTTTATAATTTTCTACTCTTGGATCTTTATCACTGGAGTCTGTTGCCTCACAGACTGAAGGCAATCCGAGAGGAATGTGTTTCAGCTATTCATGAAGAAGATTTTCATATATTAAACTATTAAGTGAACACATACTTCTAAAGAAAAAAAGAGAGCTATCCTATCATTATTCAGGGGAAAAGGTCTGTAGTCTTAAATGTAGCCTTTAATACTTTATGCATATGTGCTTTCATTTAAAGAGCAACTATAGAAAAATTACAGGTGTTCATTGAGGAGCACAGAGTATGCCTCTGTGTGAAAGGGTGGATAATGGAACTAAAAAAACCTCCCATCTTCCTCCAGAACTGCTTTACATCTAAATGTACAAATTTGCAACCAGTACTAAGAAAAATTTCTAACAAGATTTCTTAAAATGAACTACCAGAGGAGGTAACCTTTTAACCTTGTTCTCTACACTGGGATATCTGTCTCGTACCACAAGTACTACAAGAATGAAACACAATGGCAGCCTTTCTTGTGCATATTACTTTCATGAATTGAATACCTGCTGCCAAATTCACTTCTGGTCTTGCGATGATGAGATGCATACATATACCTACATGAAAAGCATATGGGAAAGCACTTAAAAAAAAAAAAGAGAACAATTCCCTTCTGCGTTTGACTTGCAAATCCTAGCAAATCAAGTATTTTTTAAGAAATCTGTTAATGAATGGTCTTCTCATTCACTGAGTCTTCCTCTAGAATAACAACCCTTCACAACATCATGGATTTCCTTTGTAATGACAGAATGCTGCAATCAAAAAGAGCATCTCTCATGGTATTATAAATCATAAGATGCTACTGCTGACATATAAAACTATCTACAGGCATGTCACACAAACCTTCCCTCATTGGTAATAGTTATAAATTGCTCTTTACTCTTGACGCAAACTCCACATTGTACACAAAATTGTATTTTGTCATGAATGTCATTAACTAGAAATACAGCAACATTCATCAGTGTTGCCTGATATGCTCACCAGTCCCCATGTACATGAAATTATTTGGTTTAGAAGACCTCTCCTCTAGGCACAACATACCACTACAGTAGATGAGGAGCAAGGCTGAAATCTGCCAATGCATTTTTGCAAGTTTGAAAAGCTCCTTGCTTACATTCTGATGAGAATAGAACTACAGAGAAAGTGGAAACAGTGACACTTTCTCAGAATTATGCTGTAATTCTTATATTTACTGTCTTCATCAGTTCCTGCAGTATTTTAAAACCAGCAGGTACTGAAAATGAAGTGCCATTGCTTTAACTGGTGTAGAGAAATGACAGGAATGCAGATGGCAGTATATCCATTTAGGCATTCTCTCAGGTCTTCCTTCTCCGAAAGCTTCTCTTATTGAAGCATTGGTCCTGAAGATCCTGTGATAAAAGACGTTTCTACCTTCTAGAAAAAAGTTTTCGGGGGCGGGGGGGTGGGGGGGTGGGCGGAACCTGTGATGGTATCTTCGTATGGTTACCTCTTGAGCATTCTCACTTCAGGAACCTAAGCACCTATGACAAAAATCTAGGGAAGGTAAGTTACATCACACTCCATTTCAGGCTGATACAGATGCTGAGGAACTGTAGTGGTGATTGATTCCACGCAATTCTTCCTAACCTTGGTAAGGTGCATGAGGGTAGTTAGGGTACATGCTATCACTTCTGCCATAAATACTCCTAATTCATATGCCTATAAGCACACCAGACACTACTTAATTTTGGTAAGCGGGATGCACTGCTTCAATTATACCCAACACTGACACTCATTCAAAGAAGTAGGTGCACATATGTACAGGCAATATTCTAGATACATAAACCATATATGATCTCACAGTACATATATACACATAGTAAAAACACACTCACATGCAAGGATAAATATATTCTAAACACTCCAGAATGGAAACACTATAAACGTATTAAAATTTGCTGAGTATTGCAATATGGACAAATAAGTTCTCATGTATATATATATATATATGTGTGTGTATGTGTATATATATATATATAAATAGAGGCTATCTTTTAAATTACTAATATATTTGGAAACACACATTTAATTCATCTTCTAAAGATACTTTTATACTTTTCAACCGGTAGGTATATTAAGGCTTACAGAGTTTTTCCTCTTCCATAAACTCAGAGATAGTCTCTGCTTACAATGGTGTTCTACCTAAGATGTAATTACATGAATTAACAAAATCAATACATGTTTTCCTCATAAATTATTTTGAGCTGTAAAAGAGGTTAATCTACCACCTTTTCTAGAATATATGGAAATGCTGTCAAAGAGACTTCTTATTTATATGTCATAGTAATTACTGCTCTCTGCCTGATAAAGTACCCCCCTTTGCCATTTCAGCAAGTAGTTTACTTTGTAAGGACTATCAGAAAACATGAATATTCCCACTCCTGTGAATATAATTCAGCAACCTGTCAAGTTAAATCATATATTAAAAACCAGAGCTGCTATTCTTGCATATTGCATCAAATTAAACCCCTTAATATTTCATGTTTAAATAGGGGAGGGATAGTTGTGAGGCAAAATAACTCTGAACTATTGTGCATGTAAGGAGATTCTGTCCTCTCTAGAAGTAACTTTCCAATAATCTCAGTTGCTTTCTCTTTTATTTTGTCCTCTCTCCTTTTTCTACTCAAATCTGCTTGGAGAACCTTTCAGAAGTTAAGACTCCCCCTATATTTACTGCAAGGATACTCAGTCTCCCTGTTTGCCAGCTGCTATTCAAAATACATATATACAGAAGAATACTTTTCCATATTCGATATAGATTTGTCCATTATACTCACTGCTAGTGTGTCTTGGCATTTTCCAGTAGTGCCTTATTTCATATGAACACCACCTATTGTATTACAGCTTGAGAAGTTCAATCATTTAAGGTGTGAGAGGTGGACAGACTTCAGTCACAACCTAAAAAAACCCATTACCCAAACAAGACAAGACAGCTACCAGAAACAAGTAAAGGTGGTGATTTTTTCCAAACACTTTAAATAGCTCTGACTTAGACCTATACAATTCTCCCTCCACACTTACACGCTGACACAACTGAGATCAATGAGTAACCCATATTTTGCTGTTTCCTAGGATCTCAAGCATTTAAACACCATCCGAGTAAGAAAGAGCTGAAAAATCAGAACAGGCCTCCTTAGCAGGTGGGGGGAAAAAAAAACACATTCCTGTGACTACTAATCTTGCCAATACAGTAAGTCCCTAAAAATAAAATTATTTATTTCCCAGCATGCCATTTTTCTTTGTTCACTGAACTCGGTTTGCACAATGAAGCCAGAAATATCAGCTTCCTTTTCTTCATCTTCAACATTAACAAAATGTCAGTGGGTTTGGATTTCTTATATTAAAGGAGAAAGATTATGGTTTAGGGTTTTTTATCATTTTTGGTTTTATAGTTTTTGTGCAGTTCTCTGAATATCATGAAAATATTACATAACACTAATAAGTTTTGAAAACCTTCTTTCCTTCTTTCTAATACCAAAGTCCAAGCATTGGATCCATCCTAATAAATCATGCTCCTCTTGATAATTCAGGCTAGAGGAATCCATGAATCTCAGAGGGGAGAAATAAATGTTGATCACAGCGGAGTGATAACTTTGATGCAGATACAGGCAGTCACTGTATTTGTTTACAGTGGGTTTGATGCCAATTGAGGAGGAATAAATCCTCACAGGTTTACACACTGCGAAGTCATGTCTAGATCAGATGATTATGCAAACGCTTCCCTTTACTATATTTTAAACTACTCTTGACTCCCTTTGCACAGCTGAAAATGAGTATATAAAACAGCATAATGGGTTAAGTAATCACAACGAGCAAGCAATGTGTCAGACTTATTGACTACCAATCAAATAAAGAACCAGCTACACAGACCATGCTACCAGATCTAGGCCAAATTCGCACCCCATCTTTTACTCCACTGAAGAAAACAAAATTGACACAAATTGCTGAAGTACTTTCCATGACTAGACTCGGCTAAAGTGAGGTTTTTTATAATGCACATTGCATCGGAGGTAAACCGGTATTTATTGTTGTCACTCCTCAAAATCAAAGAGCTTTTAATGATTTTGAGTACCAATGACTTCATACTATCCCCTTCTTAAGACAGATAATATTGAACAAAATGGATGTGCATTTGATCTCAAAAGCAAAAGGACACTACATCTATATTTATTTTTCGTTACGAAAATACAACTCAATGTTCACAGTAGTCCTGCATCTGTCTTCAGCTAACAAAACAGAAATACGTTGAATTACATGAGTTTTTGTCATCAAACAAACCCTACTGAATTCAACTTAAGCTGAAGGTAAACTGTACTTGTAAAAATAACAAAAATCCTATTTTAGGTGTCTGAATATGGATCTAAAAATTTTACTTTAGACACTTTTCCCCCCTGCTATGATACACTTCAAAGCAATAAATAACATGGCTTTTTAATGTAACATTTCTGCAATTCTCCAAGCAAAGAAATTCAGTGTTAAAGGCAGTAATACTGTACCTTGATTTCTTCTATTTCGTCTGGCACTATCTTGTATGCAGATATAGTCCCACCCAACCTGAAATCAGGAGAAGAAAAATATTCTCTGAAATCAAAAGAAAAATGTTCTCAAAATCAGTACCACAAAGTACAGCATGTTAATGGTGTCATGACTTGTTTCAAAACACAAATATCCCTCCTACCAATTTAGAGGTAAAACCTACCAAGCCTCAAAACAACAGCAAAAAAAACCCTTTCCTTTCTTTATCTAAAGAAAAATCTTCATATGATTAACATAAACCTTAGAAACAAGGTGTCATTCACTAGCCTGAAAGATAAGAATTAGGTCAACCAAGCAGAATTACCATCTCTAGGATGTTATTCTTTGTATTAACGGCCACCAGTCATCATATTCTATGAGATGTTTGCTAAGTTGTACAGATGAGTTTAAATACCTGAAGCCTGATGTACTTTGCGCTCACTAGTTCACTAAGCTGCTATACAGTCTTAAATGCATCCAAATGCAATTCTAGAAATTGAAATTTTTTTAATTAGATGTGCATGTACCGACTTCACAAACCACACAGACTCTATGGCTTCCATGTCTGAAAAGTCTCTGCAATTCAGGATTGGTAATAAAAAGTGGGCGATGTGCAATAGTTGGCACTGATGTGGAAAAATAGGGGGTTTTGTTCCACATTGAACTTACTGAACTTGTCTACATCCTGCAAAAGTTTATGGTATAGTTCACATACTGAAGATGCATGAATAGCATGTACTATAAATGGTGGTAAATATTACATTTTCCCCAGAGACATGCAGACATGGCTTCTTTTATTTCATGAAGTAGTATCATTGATAGTGACAATTCAGACCTAAAAATATAACTGCACTAATGACCTCCCTGCTGGCTCTGCACAGCAACACTAGTCATTTTCTGGGTCCTACAGAAATGGAAATCACATAAGCAACGATTTATTGTAAAGCAGTAGACAGCTATCAAATGTGTATTTGTATTATCTCCCTATTATTGGAATTTTTTCTTCCAATTGTCAGCATTTCTACACAGATGTATTTCCTTATATTCAGTCTTGAAATTATTACACATATTGTTTAGTCAACCTGAAAAGGGGAGAAGAGAGTAACGCAGAAAATACATTAAGATTTTCCCCATAAGTCCTGCCTTTCCATATATCTACAAGCAAGTCACTCTCAGAAATGAACGGTTTGAAGGCTTTAGGCAGAAGATGAAGTCTGCATAGGAAAAATCAAGTCTGAAGTCCATTGCTGCTCCAAGTAATATCAACTATGATTTCTGAGGTAGAGACAGGGTCCAGACATTACAGCATTCGAATTCATCATGAGCAATTAGAGCGTAAGTAGCTGCTCTCTCCTATTTTCTCTGCAACTTCCATTGCTGCTAATCATCAATGGACGTTGAAAGGTGGAGAGAACTGAAACTTTTTTTTGCCAGTGCAAGTACAAACATGAGCTTTTATTCTTCCCTATATCTGACCTTTGTTCAAATGGTGTTTCCAGGGATAGCTACAATAATTGGTTTTAACATCACGACGAAGGATTGCTTCATCATACCGTGACAAGGAATGACTCAGATCAGTGCATGTTATCGTTGCACATGACCAGTTCTATTGCTACTGGAATGAGGTTCATAAGAAAACATTTTTTATTTAGTTCTTTCAGATCCATTCCTGTCTACGCTCTGGACTACCCAAAAAATAACTTCATTGACTTTCTATCCTCTAGCAGAAGGGGAGGACAGGGCCTCTGCTGCCAGCACTCCACCAGCAGGGAATTCCACCTGGCAGATTTCTTTATTGGCCACCCTCGGCACAACTATTAAGAACTTTCTTGGAATACATCAGAAAAATTTTTAAAAAAATCTAAATAATTGACTCAGTAAACTCATCTGGCTTGCTTAAACCATTAATTAGCATCATTTTCTGCAAATACTTCTGCAAAGTTTTGTGTCAGGAGTTTAACATACTCTGAATCTGCCAAGTTGCAGTCCAAATGGTAGCACATTTTAAAGTAAAATGTCAGTTACCACAATTCCACATTTTTGAAAGGGAAAGATATATCAAAAGTTATGTTACTGTTTAAATAAACAATCTCTCACCTATAGCTGCAGCTCACCATATCTATCTTAATACATTTTCAGTCCTACACTGACATCTTTAGCTTCAAAATCCAGACTACATACATAAATAATAACAAATTTGAAACTGAAAGAGAACCAGAGACAGATAAATTTACAATTCTATAAATGCCTCAGTGCTGAAATAAAGTTTTTAAGGAAGCCTATACTTTCTTCATTTCAGAACATTAGATTTCACTCCATCTTATAACTCCTGGAAGAGAGATCCACCACAGCAGACTGCCAGTTGAACCCGGTACTATACAGGACAGAGTAAAGACATTTGACTTTGTGTATAAAGTTTGGTTGTGAGTTCTCAGAACTTTAAAGGCATCACACACACTGGCGGGATCCAGGTAACACAGCCTGAACTCTTCTACTGGTCATAATTATAATATATGTGAGGAACAGAATTTTTGGTTTTACTATATAATAATGTATCTATGAAAAAAAAGGATTTAGGCTGCCTGTTTGGCAGCCTGTGAGTAGTGAATAATAACATATAGATAAAATTTAAAAACAGTCTGTTTTTTTTTCTGGCAAAATGTCTTGATCAGCTTCAATTTCATGCACAAAATATTATGCCATATAATTCACTCGCCAAACAAACTTAAGAGGCAGAACCAGTTGTGAAACATGCTGCATACCCTCCACTCAAAAATCATAAATCCCAGTTCACTCCAACTGCATGGTAAATACTCCAAAAAGAAATTTGAAAGCACTTAGTTTGGTGTTACCAAATTGCTATTACGAATCTCCCACAGTCAGTTAAGTCCACAGTATAAGGGACTACACAATGTCACACACACAGAAGTTACTGAGAAAAACAAAAACATTGTGATGGATGGTAAGAAAGAACACCAAAATCAAGGCAAACTGAAAATCAACACATTAATTGGTAAGTCCAACTTAACGAAAACTTTCTATTTCAAGTAGTTCTCTGAATTACATTGAAGTGTCACTATCAATTGTGATCTGCCTGGAAGTTCGCTTGTTATTTTGCAAATCCTTGATTTGATCACTGACACCCAAGAGAACAGAGACCAGACAATTACACACAGGAGATTTCAGCTACAGGATAGTACGCAGTCTGCGACAGAGGACTTGCACACGACATAAGTTTTTCATTTTCTTGGGAGCAACCTCTCTCTGCAGGTTGGTTTTGTTTGGACATTTTACACTAACTTTTTTGATCACAGTGTTTCAAGAAGCAATTACACTGTGATCAGAAAAGCAAAGGACCAACTAGCATGAGTACACATTAACTACCGTGGGCTTTGTACACTAGAATGTAATGCAGCAAAGAACACGTCTGAAGGGCCAGAATTCAGTTCACCAGGGACCCAATTTTTGTGCAGATTCACTCCTCATCTTTCACACATTTTAGTTTTCTTACAGATTTTATTACATTTTTGTCCAGTTGAATACCACAACATCCAGCATCCTACAATATAAATGGCATTTTCTCCCAGAACAAATATAAAACCAACCAAGAGCGAAGCTAAATATACAGACAGCTACTTCCAGTAAGCTGAAAAGACAGTCACAAACTTCATCTATAGAGACCCACTGTGCAAAGTCTTTCTCTTCCAAACTGCGGCATTTTCACACGATAGCAAGCCGCATTATTTAATAGCGAAATTACTTTAAATACTACTTAGCTTTAATTTTTCACGTGTTTGTGTAACAGATAATCTCTGAAAGGTCCCAAAATTTATATTCAAATTTTGATAGACATCAGTCTCATCAGGTCTGTATCATGCCCTGCATGTAATACAGACACCCCAGTTCTCTAATGCCTTTGCAGAAGAGAAGTGAAGTTATTCATAGATATAGAAATTAGAGCTGACACAATAAAAACAAAGAACCACACCTTATATTGGGCTAAACTGGTGAAGGTCTTTGAGATGAGAATCGGAAAAGATAGGATAGGAATTCCATAAAAATAATTAGGATATAATAAATCTCATATAACAACTTGCACAGGAGTTTGTGAAAGAATAGAAATTTTGTGTCTTTTTTAGGGTAACTATATTAGGAAAAAAGTGCATCTCAGGTTGACATATAATGCATAGACTGGGTTTGCAGGAAGTTCACAAGAAGGGTTCAGGAGAATGTTGAAAGCAAGGTTTCTATAGCAACCTAAGAAATTAGCAAAGTATAGGAAATAAACTGAAGTGAGGCCAATACAGTTGTATTGGAACAGATGGAAGCTTTACTATTTCACAAATTAAAGCAGAATATCACTGAAGAGAGAAAATTTAACCTTCGTCCAAGTAAAGGAAAGTTAAAAACCAGGAGGAACCGTACTCAAATGGAAGCAAGAAACAATGAATCACAGCCCAAATGGGAAGAGAACTCGAGAAGACAAAACTTAAAGAAAAATAAATTGCATCGCTGTTAACAATAAACTACCCATTATTTTAATAAGTCATCCTTTTATGACCTCTTTTGCTGTATGTTTCAATACTCTATTTAAAACAGAAATGGAATTTCTCATTTTTAAAACATTTATTCTGGATATAAGGTTAAAATTATCACCGTGTTATTTTCCATACAGTGGCAAGTTAGACTTCTGAATTGTTTTCCCTTGTGACCCTGTACATATGCATGTGCTGATGGACTCACTGGATTATTATTGCATAGATACATCACGTGCAAGACACCTGTGTACTTGGACTGAATCAGTACCGGTCGGCTTTTATAATTTGAATTCTGACCAAAGATACAAACACAGTCTTTATATACAGTTCCACATTCAGTGACTGCCAGAAGAAGCTGAGCTATTGATTCATCTGTTAACTTAATAAATAAGTCATACTGAATGCAATGAAGTCAATTTTCTAAAAATAGCCTGTAGCCAGCTTGGCTGCTGTCATCTGCTGAAGTTCTCCAATGCCACTTCAATTAACATTAATCTTTCT